ACAGTGTAAGCCCAGCACTCTAAACAGCAGTTCCACACTCTCAGACCGGAGCGAACACATTTGAGGACTCCACGATTACATCAGCTCGAGATCTGACCAGATTGTTTAGTCATTCAACCTCCAAGGATGCAGCCAACACTTGCACCAGCACCGCACCCCATGCGATTATCAGGGCAGGTAAGCGATAACACCACTTCATTCGTAGACGCAGTGACTGACTTCAGGTGGCAGGACAATGTCTCGGACCAGAGTGAGTAATCAGGCGATAGATTTTGGGTTCATTGTTCCACTGTGGAATTGCTAACACATCGATGTGATCAGCTCTCCGAGAGCAGCTGCTCGCCCAGGTGCAAAACCATCATCTTCCTCATCATAGACCAGAGCATCAGCTGTCAAATACTGCGAGTCCCCACCACCACAATATTGATCCTGCGATTGCGGGAACTGGCGTCATGAACCAAGGTGCTGGTGACAGCGGAGGCGATGACGGCGCCAGCGATGGTAGGAAAAGTGGCAAGCGTGAATTATCGACGTCAAAACGTGCGGCGCAAAATAGAGCAGCTCAGGTAGGTGGGCTTTCCATAATCGTTGTCAGTTCATGAGACTTATGAGACTTACTTTGCTCCTGGGTTCAAAGAGACTTTCTGCGCGAAAGTTTTTTGGGTGACAAAGACAGCTTACTAAAAGATTACTACAGCGCGCGTTCAGACAACGAAAAGAAGGGCACATCAAAACTCTGGAGACGCAAGTGAGGGAATTCAACAGCCTCAGTGAAAATTTTAAAGCTCTACAATCAGAGAACTATCAGCTGCGTGACTACATCATCAGCCTCCAATCTCGCCTCCTCGAGTCCCAAGGCGAATATCCACAACCACCGTCGAACATCGACATCCCTCATCCTCGGACTTCGGGTCCCCCTACTCAGCAGATTCCAGCACCCACAGCTCCAATGGGATCATCGGCCGCAAGTCAGCTTCAAGCTTCTGCTGCTCAAGCTGTCGCAGACATGAGTGGAGGCAGAAACCAACAGGACGAATCTCCTTATAACAGAGGAAACAACCCGAACAAAAGGACTCGAGTTGGCGAGGATGCAGAGATGCGCTCTGCGCCTCAGCCTCCGCATGCTGATAACAGGTGATCTGCTGTCCGAGACCTTGCGAAGGATCCTGCGGTAATCACATATGGCCCCTGCACGTATGCCTGATACCCAATCAGCGTTATGTTACAGTTTAATGATGACGCTTCGGAAGATTGCATTGGCGGATTGGTGAAGCTTCTTGGCTGGGACGTCTTGCAATGTGGTTCTCGACGTTATGGGAGCGTGCCAATCGGCGCCCATACTGGCCATGTGCTCCCTTGCCCCGATAGCAGCTAGCTAGCAGAATCTAGTGACTATCTGCCACTTGTCGGTATAGATCAAACGAGCTATCATCCTTTTAACCGCGCTATCATCGATTGAAGCGGCCCCACCAGATAGGCTGCAAATTATTCCTATTTCGCATTGACTGGTTAAAAAGTAGTGCTGTTACCAAGATTGTGTTCCTGCAATATGAAAGTCAGTAATCACGTCAGACTAGGCAGATGTTGTGGTCGGGCGAAGGTTCGTGGATGTTGTGCGGCCTTACTTTCATATAGTCAGAACCCTTCTCATCGTAATCTTGACGAGTCACGAGAGCTTGCCTAAAGGTCGGCTCCCTAGACCATTGAGCTGCGCCTCTCCAGGCGTCAAGCAACGGGTCGTTCGCCTGGCGGAGATGCATTGCGGCATCTATAGGTAGGACAGCGCGCAACTCCTCGTTGAGTCTGTCATCAAATCCCGCGAAAAGCGTGTTACCTCCCGTGAGGAAAACATCCCTGAGAATGTTGTTGCGATCTTGTGGTTTGCCCATCCCGTGGTTGACCATGTCGGCAGCGATGTCGATGATGCCTGCCTGATCAAGACCTGCTATAGCAGGTTGGAAGACCACCTCGGGCACGCGAATCCTTTCCACGTTGAGATGCAACTGATGAATTTCCTGCTGGCTTTCCGGGTCAAAAGGCCATGGACCACGTCGAAAAGCATGCATGAGACTTGTTGTCCAGTCCATCTGAGCAGCCATAGTATTGCGCTCGTTGAATCCAGGATCATACTTTAGCAGCTGTGCTTCCACGTTCTTCATTTCCGCATCAAGGTCTTCTTCCTCCTCATCCTCACTTTGCTCACCCATCGCAACAGTGCGATAGACCCCCCAATCTTCATCATTTGCGCCGAAATTGTCATCGTCGCCACCTCGCCGACGCTTTCTGCCGGGCGCATCTGAGGCCAGGTTTGCGAGTGTTTTCATACGCATCTGGCTGGCAAGTGATTTACGGTTGCCGAGATCTGCCTTTTGTCTGTCTCTATCTTTGATCTTTTGGAGTAGAGCCTGCAAGTGAATTATCAGCACACAAGAATTCCTAGCGTTCTCCGGTCTGTAACGTGTCTCACCGTTCTCGCGACTCTCCGATCCTCTAACCACCCGTCAAGGTCTTTGATGCGGCGCTCGTCATCGAGTCTCTCTTCCTCTGCTACACGGGCTCTTTCTTGCTCCTTTTCGACCTTTGCCCTTGCACGAGCTTCCACGCCTGACTTTAACAATCGTTGATGTCTCTTTTGTCTCAACCCTGCCTCATCCAGCTCTTCGTCCGCTATGTCAAGCAGTGGAAAGTTAACTCCTTCCTCCTCCTCAACGACGTCTGGAACACCGAGGTCCTTGTTCCTGGCTTTTCGTACAGATTTCTCCATGTCTTTGATTATCTTGTCTAGTTGGGCTTCATCTCTGAACTCATCCTCATCGAGCAAGCGTTTCGTCTCCTTTTTCGTTTGACCCACCAGGCGCTGCTGAAGATCTTTGTAGTACTCCAATTCCTGTTCTTTCTGCACAAGCTTTTCCAGTCTCATTTTTGCCGCTTGCTCTTGTAGTCTCTTTCCGCCCTCCCTTTTCCGTTCGGCGATTCGTGCAAGTTCTTCCTCACTCTTCTCCACAACAACGTGCTCAGTGAAAGGGTACTGTATGATATGGTCTCGGCTCTCCAAACCGGTCCAGTCCAGGAAGCCCCTCATCTCCTTGTCGAAACTTTGAGAGACATAGCAATGCTCACGAACCACATGTTGCGCCTGATAGTCGGTGACTTTACTGGGGAAGCTCGGATACTTCAATCTCAACAGTTTCAGCAAATACTCAGCGCCTTGAGATCCTCCCCAATTCAGCCGCGACACGCTGGACATAATAGGCTTCGAGTTCAAGACAGGGATTACGTGTGTCGAGGAGTGCGAGGATGATATGATAAGTCCGCTGTTTCCTTTATTGAACTTATACGAGAAGAGCGAATCGATGCCGTAAACCAGCGAGGGCGCGTGGTAGCATTCGAATAAAAGCTCATTCATAGCTGCATAAAGTCAGTGTTCATCTGTACAAGTGAGCTCAACGGTTGGCACGTACTCTTCCTTGAATAGCCCAGATTGGCAACGGGTTCCGTCATGAGAACAGGTCTTCCGATGCCTCCGTTCTCTCCCTCAACTCCTAGATTCACAAATATGTTATCCAGCACACCTTCCATGACGTCCCAATTGCCCACAATACTGGTCCCAGGTTCGAAAGCGTTCCGTATCTGACCCCTGGTGGTAGCGTCTGCATACGCATTGTAACCCACGTATGAGACGGTCCTGTTGTATTTTCGGTCTCGATATCGAGCAACATCTGCCGGAAATGATATTCGAGGGATTGTATCGAAAGACCAACCAGCACGTACAAGACTGGAGCCTCGAGGGAAATCAGCACAAAGTCCCCAAACAGTTGTATGCTTTGGATGCTTACCATTGTCAATGACTATCGCTGTCTCGGCAACGCTTTGAGCATAGGCTTCGGAGGGAGTTGGTTGGTAGCCTTTGAAGGGCGGTTCGATAGCGTACCATGTACGTGGAGGCGGTTTGGAAGACTTTTGGCCATTGGTAACCTCGGTTGTAAGGACCGGCTCCACGTAGCGACTAGAGGTGATGGTCATGATGGAGTGTGAATTTGCCTTGTCTCAGGAGCCTTTGTATGGACGCAGACAAACCATTTTTCGTCGTTGAGTATGAAATATGTCTGCGTAAACGAGGTTGCGCAATATCATTCGGTAAATGTGTACGTGAAGTGGAAATCCGACTGCTTAGGTTGGCTCGGGTAGTATAATCTACAGGCGCAGTCGGCTTCCACGTCAATCATTATTATTATCATCATCATCAGTGGTTTCAGTGTCAGTCTTGACTTCAATTTTCATTACTACAGTACGGTTGTACGCTATGATGGGTCTTGGAGGCTGTCCGTGGCTGTAGGCGAAACCGAGATCAATGCTTTATATCAGGCAGCCCGACAAGTGACATGCCTTCTTACCTTCAAGGTGAAAGAGCACATTGGATCGATAGTTTTTAAACATCTGAGCAACAAGTTCGACATTCATGTTTAGGATGTTGATCTCCTGGGTTAAAATGGTACCTGCATTAGTGCAAGATTCGACGAGGCAAGCTGGCAGCGAGACCGAGTATCATACCTGAAGGTTTTTGTTCAGGACCATTACGGCTTCGTTGAGTTTCTCCTAGGATAATTCATGAGTATATACCATCGAGAGACAAAGTTCTCACTGTTACTTACGACGTTGGTGATGATGCGCGTGAGAAGCAGGCTCTGCTGATGCTCGTGGGGGCTTTCCTACTATTGATCAGCGAGGCGATCAGGTATTAAACGACATTGCGTTCAAGACACGTACCATAGCTCTAAGTCCCATACGCTCCTATCTCATTGCTGCGTGTCGGGATGGCTGGCTGATAGCTCGCTCGACTACGAGTGTTTGAATGAACGCGTTTCGTGGATCCCACCATTTGTAACTTATCTAGCGCCGAGCTTCTCTTGTGTAAAGTATGATGTATCTAATAAAAGACCTGGATTGACCTTCAGCTTACCTCCCAACTTCCCTTACTGCCTTTGTACCACAATCTATCTATGGCTCCAACAACACCGTCTACAGACGACTCGCATCAGCAGCTTCTGGATCAGCTTGACTTGACACTTAAGCCGCGACCCTTTCGCAATTCTCAATGGAAGCCTTCGCAGCGCCGTAACAAGAATATCAAGCAAATAGTGGCCGAGGCTGCTCGCAAAGAGGCATCAGTCATGGCCACACACGACAACAGCGGCTCTTCTACCCCAAATCTGCAAAGCTCTGCCATAGACACCGGAGCAGCAACGCCGGTACCTTTATACGGCACGTTCACACACTCCAACATATCACAAGCAGCTCAAAATCTGTCTACAATGGTACTCGAAAGGAATCTGCAAGCCTCTCTTTCCTCTGGGCCAGTAGCTACTTACACGAACATCGAGTCTGCTCCGTCACTGCATCCAGCGCACCAGAAACACTACTGCGACATCACTGGCTTGCCGGCCCCTTATACGGATCCGAAGTCCAGACTTCGTTATCACAACAAGGAGGTGTTCGATGTTGTCCGACACCTACCTCAGGGGGCGGCGGAGAGATACTTGGAAGCGCGAGGAGCCCACGTCGTACTCAAATGATCTAGCTGAAGACATTTCTCTGCTCGTATACAGACGTCCTGCCCAGAGGAACAGCAACCACCAATGCCCGGATAAGTGAGTTGTTCGGCCAACAAAGTCAAGCCTATTCCACCCATCTTGCCCCTCTCGGTGCAAGACTCAAGAATACGCTCCGGCTTAATCGTGACCAATTTGTATTCGCCAGCTTGACGGTCTACCGATGATCCCATGGAGGAGAACAGGGTATCAGTTACAGAATCCAAAGATTGCTGTTGTCAAAGCGTTGGGTGACAAAAAAACATCGCATGGTATAGTTGATTTGCTACTGTAGCATTGCTGCATTATGAATGGGCCTCAGTGGGCAAGGGTTTGTAAAGTTAGTTGAAACAAGTCGACGATAGCTTAAAAGTGAGGACCATGATCGGTGCATTGGAGCAGCACCATGCGAATTCCTTGACATGTCATTGCAAATTTCCGATGGTCTGCATGAAAGTTGGCTTGATGCTCGGATTTTCGTAAAAATCTCTACGATTTCTTGCCTACATATCGAGGTGGGGATGGCAGAAAATTTGTGATATGGCGCCGCGGGGGAAAAAGCTGAAATGTACGTACTGTAAATGAGCTAGTACCTGTATAGGACTAATACTAGCCTCCTACCTGTTTCGAAAACCGAATGCAGGGTTTGACAACGTGTCTTTGAAGATTTGACCGCATTGAGAGCTATTAAGTTGTCAATGTTCGATGATTTAGATTCGATCGAATACTTGAGACCTCGTCACCACATACCTGCGAGATGCCTACCATGTGGCTCTCAGATTCACAAAGTTAGTCTACACGACAGATTTCCAAAGCTTCCCAAGAGCTACCAGTATCTCGACCCCAAACTTCGCACAATCAGCGCTGATGTTTCCGTTTGCACACAGAAGTCGGAGTCGCCTTCTGCTCAGGTGGTAGGTAGGGTCACTGAGTTTGCCAGTTTCTCGCGCTAGTGGTCTGATAATAGGTTTAGGGGGATTCTTTCTAGTTGGGGGAGTGATCATGTTTTTCGATAGAGCCATGTGCGTCTTCAGCATTTCCCGAACTCAACAGAAAAAAAGCTCATGTCAGGCAGGCTGGCCATGGGCAATGTACGAGGCGGCAACTTCCAGACAAGACCTAATTAATCATCCGCGAACAGATCCTCTTTCTCCTTGGTCTTACCCTTATAATCGGCCTACAAAAGACAGCAGTCTTCTTCGCTCGGCGTCAAAAATTGAAGGGAACGGCTGCGTTCGCGGCAGGAATCATACTCATAGTTCTACGATGGCCCCTAGTGGGCTTCCTAATTGAATTGTATGGGATATTTGTGCTCTTTGGTGACTTTTTCTCAACAATCGGTGGATTTGCCGGAAACATCCCCGTGGTGGGACCGTACATACAGCAGGCGCTAGTCAGAGCTGGAGGAGGGCGGAGGAATGCAGAATTGCCTGTATGAATTCGCAGGACGTGGCAAACCTTGGGACCCAGCAAAACTTCGACATGGAAGGCGCTGCCCATTAGAACGGAGCGGTCACGGGCTTGTGAGTGGGGAGAGCTATCCAACTCCCAGATTGAAATATGAGGAGCTGACAACGCGTCGGTTGCACGGACGACGACGACACGATCGGACGCAATGAAGAGCTTGTGATATGGTGAAGCAGAGGCCCCGTTCCATTCATCTGTCGAACCCTGTCCTCAGAGAGGAATGCAAGTAAAGTACAGCTTCATAATGGCATTAAGGGAGACGATGTGTGAATGCTTAGTAGCCAACCCCCATTAGATAATCGCCAAGCTGCTCCACTGTGTTCGTTGCTTGTCCTGGTTGTACTGTCTCTGGGTAATGGGTGACAAGGATCGCTTGATGCGTCTTAACAATCACTATCCCCTCCTTTCCCTATGTGGCAGTCAGCTCCAATTTGCAACCATGACCTCCCATGTAAATTTGTAATGCACCTTCTTGCCATACACACTCTTTTCATCCGCCTTTATCGTCATGTATTTCTCACCTGCGATGCGAAAGCCACCACTTTGGATCTTCTTGACGTCTGATGTGTCCGAGTACGAAGCAATGACCTCTTTTATTTCCGTCGGCGAAACCTGAGGGCATCGTCAATCTTCGAGTTCAGCCCCAGGGTTCCTTCCACATGCTACCTTCCCGAGTTAAACCCGGGGCTTTGAACGGATGTATAGAGTATGTGGGCGGACGGAGAAGAGATTGTCGACGTACTGTAAAGCCGTGGGACGAGGCCCAGACGCTAGTCCCTTGTGTGTTGAAAATGGCAGCCCTGTCGAGATTCCCAGTTCCCACCAAACTACCAAATCTCCATCAGTATCCGGAAGAGCGGAAGATGTTGTCATATGTGAAGGTACCTGGTATCAACATATGCTTTGATGGCAGTGAGTCAGCGAGACCGTGGAACGAGACAGGTAGACCGACTGACCTTGCCACGACATGCTTGATCAATAGCGGAGCTTCGAATGCGGCAGATGCTAGCGATAATTGAGAGGAGTCAAGGAGGGTTACAATGGTCGGAATGGTTCGGTGGGATGGTATTTTGGCGGAAAGAAGAGGTAGTAAGTAGTATGATGTGATGGAGCCCAGTGGGGTTCCTAAAAAACAATGGCCAAGTGACCCCGCCAAGAACGCACATCCTCTGTTTCATCCTTTTTCACCTTTTGCCTTCCACCTTTCTCCGTTCTCCTTTCTCCAATCTTTGATACCGAGGACTGAGCTGCTACCTTGCGACTAGACCCGACTACCTCTGTGCCTCAAGGTCGTGGTCTGCAGACACGTATTTGGGACTACCTTGGATTTCTACAAACAACTGAACGGAGTAGGAGTGCAGTAGATTAGAATGAAGCACTTGCTTATCGCCGAGCGGAACGGAATAAGTATATCAAGGTTAACTCCTTTGGCGGCTCGCCTTCGCTACTGTGTTCCGTATCAGGCTGCGTAAGACGGTGAGACGGTAGGTAGGAAGATTGATGTTTGTGCGCTGAAACTTGTTCCGCGGTTTCGCACTGGTCCTTCCTTGTATCATCATTATTATTATTCGTTTTCCCACGAGCAGGGTTTCCCACGCAACATTCTCCGCCCTTCTTACGAGGCTTGTCTACTGTGAATCTTGATGTTGCTTTGTAATTTTAGAGTACCGCCGAGCGTAAGCCCAAATCCTAGCTCGGCTAACACAGGCGTTGTTTCACCTTGGTGAAAAAAATGAAGCACATCATCTCATTCGCAGCGTTCCGCTTTCTCATCTTAGCGATAGGGCTCCCATCCTTGAGGACCAATGATATTGAACAAAACCTTTTTCAGGAAATGAAAGCTCAATGTGCCCAAGATTGTGCGTGGCGGGTGAGTGGGGAGACAGAATCTTGACCCCCGAGACCTCATCCTCCTCCTTCCCTACGTATCATCATCGTCCCTCCCTGTTGTTCATCCCGTTTTTTTCCTATCCCCTTCCGTCACCGTATCTCCTTCTTACACCTTTCCTTCTATATCCAACTCTTTTGTATATAGCTTGTCTTTCTCTGTTGTCAGTTGGCCAGGTGCCATCAGGCTGTATCCCGCAAAGAAACTATTTCGAAAGATGCCAAAGGCTGGACCTTTGACAAGGTCAGTGTCTAAACGGGTTAGACCAGCAGAACCACCAGCAGGCAACAACACTCATGCGAATGCCGTGCAGGCGCTCTCCAATGTTCAATCCCCTCAGCCGCATGGAGGGTTTGGGCGCAGACTTCATTCTGATGAGATAGTCATTGGACTCGCCTTAGGTAGCCCGAGGCAGAATCCATTATCGGCCCTTCCGCCAGATTACCGCGATGTTGATGTTTCTTGCGCTTGCAGCTCGCCAGAAAAACCCGCAAGCACGCTTGGGAATGTCTGTGAGATTGGTAACGGGAGTAAAGGCATCAAACGGAAGGGCAGCAAGTGGAAGTCGATAGGTAGCTTTTTTGGGAGAAGTCAAGTTCGGTCCGCTTCGCCATTCTACCAGCTGGATCAAAAACAGCAACCGGAACCAGCCAGGCAGATCATCGCCCAAGACTACTTGGAGACCAACGCTCTTCGTCGCAAGCGGGCAGACTCGAATCATGGTAACAAAGCGCATCAAGTAGATTCATTCACGGGTACGCCTGGAAAAGAAATCGGAGAGCCTCAGCCTGAAATGCAGCGAATTCCTGCCAAGTATACAGCACACGCCATAGCAGGGGATTTGGATCCTCATGGAGAGCGGCAGGGGTCGCGGATGCCTGGGCCATCATTACTACAAGTTGAGATCCCGTGCGTGGAATTGGAGCGTTATAGCGTAATGTTTGGCGACGTCCTGGAGCCTCAGGTACGGCAAATTCAGCGGCAGCCTTCACTGTTGGCTCGAAGGCAGGCCCACTTGGAGGAGCCACATACCGTCACTGACTCGAGCAGCAAGGTACGTTCTTCTGCTGTTGAAAACAAAATTACTAGCTCACAGATGTCTAACAGTCTTTTGAGCTTGACTTGCCAAAACTCGGTATGCGAGCTGACTCAGTATCATCCAAGTCCTCCAAGTCTTCATCTTTCTCGCTCTTCCCCTCGACTCCTCCTCTTTCAGCCCGCACTCCTGTGAACAAGCTGCTTCCGAAGCCTAGTCCTTTGAGTCGTTCGATGACTGCCCCCACTCACCACGTTTTTCCGCCCAGGCCCGCGATCAAGAAAAGCAAATCCCAGGAACAAGATCATGTGCTTGTCGTAGTGCACAACTCGGAAGCTATCCCAGGGACCCCAACGTTTCACGGTCGTCAACCTAGTTCCAATCATTCTCAGCGCTCCGCCAACTCGACTACAGCTAGCTCTTTCGAGTGCGCAGAGTACCCTGGGTACTCGTACCCCACCACCGAAACGCACCCTCCCACACATACGAATGGTGCACCACAGGATTTTCTGAAACGTGCATTCCCAGCGCGGAAATCAAGCATGAAAAAGCTAGCTTCACCGGAACCACGGTATAGAAATCAAAGGGAAGACCCAACCGGCCCTCCTGCTGAAGTCTCCGTGGCTAGGCAAATTTCCATTTCACGTCGACAACAGCAACTTCTTGTCCCGATCGTCCCAAAGACTGCCCGTCAGCCCATGCAGCCCAGAATCAATGAGCAGAGCACCACGGAGGAGTCGAGGAAATCGCACCATCTGACTTTGGAGAATGCTTGAATACATCGTTGTTTCTTCTGGCAAGAAACAGGGGTTTCTGTTCGTACAGGCAGCATAAGGAGCCCTTCCATTACAAATGCTTCGCGTTTATGGCAGGGTCAGGCCATAAATGTGTGGATGTATATCATGAGGAGACATTCGATTCTTGTAGATATTTTTTGCCTTGAGATTCGCAACTGGAAGAAAAAACGCTACGAGGAATGCTTTCCGTGCTCTGTTTTTACCTTCTCTATTGAATGACACCAGGGCCTTCCCCATACGCTATATTGAATGGCTAGAAGTAGGTTCGTTATAACCATTCCTGATTTCATGAGCTCTTCTTTCCATTGACATCCTCAACAACTGGCGCTGCCGGCATCTCTATGCCCTTGATCTTCCACATCATATTTACATACGCATCGCTGGCCACGAGGACATCGACTTTTCTCTCCACACTCTCAGGCTTCAACTTCAGTATGGATCTCGACGTTGGCTTGTTTCCACCACCACGTACCTTTTGCACTGAAGGCCAATTTATCCTTTTCAACGCCAAAACCTCGTCTTTGGCTGGATCAGCAACGACAAGGAAGAAGCCTTCGGATTGTGGTTTGGGAAACTTGGGGGCATAAATGCGATAATCAGGCTGCGTTGCGGGGTTGAGACGAGCAGCGCCTACAGTGAGGCCAAGGGCATTGACGTCCATGACATTGACATTGAGGTTTGGGAGTGTGCCAATTGCTTTTTCGACTTGAGACTCCAGTTCGTGAGGCACGTCAAGACTATTAAGTACCTTGGAAAGTACGGGTTTGGCAACATTGTGGATCTGGGCTAGTGAGGGGGGTTGTGACCCTCCATCTTTTGCTCTTGCCCGCTCTTTGTCCGTATTCACGCCAGGAAAGATAGACAAGGGACCGTCCAATGGCCAGCGAGCTGACTTGATGCACTGCAGCAAAGTAATCATCATGATGCAGCTCGACAGGTAGCCCATCTCTGTCAACACATCGATGGAAGCTTGGACAATACGTATGCTCTGGTCTAGGACTGAGTTTTGGTCGCCAACGTAGTCGGATATTGGCAAGTCGATGCGGGAAAAATAGGCCTGGAGAAGCAGGAACGCTTTGACGTGAGGGTCCCACATCGGAAGGCTGAGGGCTTCGGCTTTCAATGGTAGGTTCTTTGACAATTCCGCGTTGATAAGATCCTCTAGAAGTGGAATTTCACGGGTCAGCATCGCTTCGTCAAGGCTAAAGTGTGCGCAACGAGATCCTCTTATGCCTGCTCCATTGGAGCCTTGTCCCCCCTGACCAATTTCCACCCCGGGCCTTTGCCTGTGAAAATGTGCCTCATTCGGGTCTTCCCCTCTCAAAATGACTCTTTACTTTGGCCATATGTCCTTTGTAATGATCTCCTCCAGCACTTCTAGCTTTGATTTGCAGACAAAATCCGGAAGAAATGTAAGAAAAGGATGGAGGATGAAAGTCCTTACCATTGTGCCGTACAGGAAGCTCATCGAATTCGTTTGCACCGCACATCCAAGCCAGTACGTCCTCGAAGTTCGCGTCTCTTTTAGCATGCTTCACTAGATGTCGGATGGTGTTGTGAGATAAGTAGTAATAACTCATGATCTTACCAAGTGGAGTCGAATCGACGTCGCCGCTGGAGTGCTGTGCAATACAACCCGATTCCGCTAATTCATCCAGAGACTTGTCGACAAGTTCAACCATGAATTCATTGGCTAGTTGCTGCGCTGCGATCGTGTTGTGCTCTTCGGACGATATCTCAAGGCCGTAGTAAGAAGGATTTTTGTGCAGTCGGCGAAAGAAGAAAGTCCAAGTAAGATAATCCAGCGCATCTTGCTTGGTACTGATCGTGCCCGCAGAAGCCTCGGCGCCTAGATGGTTTTCGAGAACGTTGTGAAGGGAGGACTCCACAGGAAAACCTGTGTGTAGAAAATGTTTGTAAAATGCCTTTTTAGCCTCTTGGGTGAAAATGCGGGCAATTCCCGAAGTATCGAATTGTGGCCGTCCAGCGCGGCCTAGCATTTGTAATACATCGGTCAGATTCATGTCTTTATACCCTTCGATTTTAGCATCGAAATATTGAGTACCCTTGACTACGACCAAATGGGCTGGCAAGTTGACACCCCAAGCAAGCGTAGACGTTGCCACGAGTATTTGGATCTTGTTGTTGGCGAATAACTCTTCGGCTAACTGCCTATCAGCTTCTACCAATCCAGCATGATGCAGACCGATGCCGAAGCTCAGGGCCTCTCGCAGAGCCTCGTCTTTAACTCTGGACAGGTTGAGCTGTAGGTCATCTTCTGACATGCGTATAAAGCGTCGGGGGTTGTCCTCCATGCCACAGAGGTTGATCAAGTCCTTTGCTGTTAAGCGCGTTTGCCTTCGGGAAGCAACAAAGACAATGACCGGTTTCTCGGGCGAATGGGTCTTGATTGCTAGGAACGTCGGACGGTTCATCGATTGCATGAGAGGGCAAAAGCCTCGTTGTTCTGGAAACCCATCTATAAATATCTGGAGCGGCACCGGCCTGACTGAATGTCGAAAATTGAAGAGTCCTTCTTTGACACCTAGCCAATTTCCCAAATCCATGGCATTGGCACAAGCAGTCGACATTCCCACCAGTCGCACAGAACCTTTGGATTGAGAAGCAATGTAATTCATACGGGAAACGATGATCTCTAAGATCGGCCCTCGATCACCTCCAAGAAGATGAACTTCGTCAATGATCACCAAGCTCACTTGGCGGACGTAAGCTCTAGTTTGCCAGCTACGACTTATACCATCCCACTTTTCAGGCGTAGTGATGATGATATCAGCATCTCGAATGGTTCGAGTATTAGGCGTATTATCACCGGTCAGCTCGACAAGCTTAAGGCCCATTTGGCGGACTAAGCGCTTGCGCCAGTCTTGCACTCGCTCTCGCACCAGTGCTTTCATCGGCGCAATATAGACGACTTTAGATCCAGGCTTCTCGCGGAAAGCCCACCACATAGCTAGCTCTGCGGCGACTGTCTTTCCACTACCAGTTGGAGAACCGAGCAGCACGTTGGCCGAAGTGTGATAAAGAGTGTGGAAGATCTGGGTTTGCATTGGATTGAAGAATGAGAATCGTTGCCCATATATTTCTTCGAGCAAGGTATTTTTTAGCGCAGCAACCGCAAGCGGTTGAAGATCTAAAAGATCTGTATACACGCTTTCCGTGTCTGGCCTGATGAGGTGCTGGAAGGACACTGGAGTCACGGTTTCTGCACCCAGCCATCGGTCTGAGACAACCCGCACGTATATCTGTGTTGGCAGAGGGTCCGACAGAGGAATGGTGAAATTTAGCTCGTGGTCGTCGTAAAGCTTCTTGCGCGTCAAGATAAAATACTCGTGGTGGTAAATTTCCGAGTTTTCCGAGTTTTCGACCCAAATCCAATATGATTCTGACGTTCCATTGTGTCTATCGTTCCAGCGAAAATCGGCAGTAAGGTGTAGATTGATTCGAAGAACATCGCGGTTCAGAGGAGCAATCTCAGCTTCAACGGTCAACGTTGGGAAGTTGTCCAGGAGCTTCGAGATTGTATTTCCCATTCGGTTGTTATGAACCACCTGGCCGATCTCTGCAGACTCCATGTCGCGTAATGACTCAATGGAAGAGACATTCGACTTCTCGTCAAGATTTCTCAATATAGGCTGAGGAAGGTCGAATTGGTGAAACGGATGCTGAAAGGGCCATATTTGCTTCTCAATCGACTTGCATAGAGAGAGTATGACGAGACACTGATGACCCCATCTTCTGTTAAGAGCTATCATGAACAGTGCCCTGCATATTCTTGCAGCGTTCTGTGCTACGTATGCGCAATCAGAGACAAGAGCGAAGTCATCGATACGAGCCCGAGAGATGTAGGATTGGAGCAGAATGTTTGTCTTTGCTGATGCGATGTCGTTGCCCCCCACCACCTCGTAATGAGTTGATTCCTCTCTGAGCCTTGTAAGTTCCTTTGACTCGTTGTCGCGGGATTGAATATTGTCGAACTCGCCGCTCATGCTGATCATTTTGAGAACATCTATTTCAGTGGCTCTCGCTCCCATCATGGTATTGAAGATCTCAATGCTTGTTTGCAAGACATAATACTGGCTTGCAATCCTACCAACGTCCTTGGCCCGAAGCTCCTCGGTCGTTTCGTTGAAGATAATCATCTGGCTCTGCTGCAGCACACGCGCTGCATCAACCGCCAACTTTCGCCTTCTTTGGACAAGATGGGGATCATCACGAATCTCGGCCCAGTCGATGCCGTATGTCAGTGGATTGCGCTGCATTCGCACGAAGAGGTAGGAGTAACCGAGCCATTGAACAGCTTCGGGGATAGAAGTCACAGTCCCCAAAGCAATTTCTGCGTTCAGATTGTCCACCAGTTTTCGAGAGAGCTTTGACTCGATTGGCTGCTGTTGAGTCACCGCAGAAAGATAGTGGTCTAGCTTGTCATGAGTGGTACAGATGAAGCCAATGCCAGTAGCTTGGAATTGCGGTCGACCAGCACGCCCAAATATTTGCAACACATCCAAGATGCCAAGATCGACGAATCTGCCCTCTTGGGAGCTATACATCTGGGTCCCTTTGATGATGACCGCAGCAGCTGGTAGATTGACACCCCATGCGAGTGTCGCTGTACAGCAGAGCACGTTGATGTGCCCTTGCGCGAAAAGCTGTTCGACTCGATTTCGATCAGATCTTGGCATCCCAGCATGGTGAGTACCGAAGCCCTTGGGGACGATTTCTCTGAGCTCCCTTCCCTTGGTGTTCTTCAGATCTTTCATTGCTGTTGCAAATCCCTCCACCGCTTGACAATCAAATAGGTCTAGACATTGCTGATCTTGAGCCATCTGCATGAATGTCCTCGCGGAGTTGACGGTGTCTTTCCTAGAATGTACGAAGACCATGATCTGATGTCCACACTCCAGCATGTCTTTGAGTTTATCGAAAGCTGTCTGGTCAATGTTGTCACGGGATGATTTGGTTCCTGTTTTTCCTTTTACACCAATGAAATGTTGCTCGAGAGGCACTGGCCGGAACGAGGCATCAAAGTAGAATAGTCCTGCCATGCGATTTACCTTGAGGAAATCTGCAACATCAACGTAATTTGGCAACGTTGCAGAAAGGCCAACAACCCTAATGAGAGATTGAGTGCTTTCGACCTGCCTCTCTGTTCGAGCAACGAGAGACTCAATTACGGCGCCCCGTTCGTCATGAAGCATGTGCACTTCATCTATGATGAGCAGTCGGACTTTCTGTACAAGCTCGGTATCGCCAGTACTCTTGCGGGTGATAACGTCCCATTTCTCGGGCGTAGTCACGATGATCTGAGTCTGGACGATTTCTTTCTTTGTCAAATGCATGTCTCCAGTAAACTCACGCACCTGAATGCCCAGCCACGCAAGACGTCTCCCAAGCTTTTCGGTGATCTCAGCCGCCAATGCTTTCATTGGGGCCACGTAAATGACTTTGAAATCTTCAGAATTGACTAGAAATTCCGAGGCATCGGGCGCATCCACGGGACTGGGGGTGAGGTTGTGGCCGATTGCATTCAGAATCGCAAGCATAGCAGCATCTGTTTTGCCAGCACCGGTGGGAGCACATATTAACATGTTCTCATTTGTCTTATACGCGACTGGATACACCAGGCTTTGCATGCGATTTAAGGCTTTGTAGCCCTTGAAAGTTCTTCTGCACAACCCGTCCATCTCGGAAATCTCAACGAGCTTTCTACCGACACCCAACGTACCCACCTTAGCTGCGGGAATCAAGTATTCTTCATACTTTTCATGTTCTGTTCTCTTGCTACCGACAGGTAACCCATACTTGCGGCCTCCTGCAGCCAAAGTGTTCGCCGCGCTGTGGACTTTGTACACGTGCGGATACCGAGGGCCGTTATGATTCTGCGCTGGGTCAAGGCTTGCTGCTTTGTGTTCATGATCCTGATGTTGTAGGGCTTGCTCCCTTTGCCTTTTGCTTTGGAGATGACCAAGTACACCGTTTGCCGAGCTCGGATCATGGAACTCGCTTGACAGGATTTGACTGCGATGAGCTATTAGCTGTATGACAGAGTCGAGGTCATCAAAGCCCAATATGTCAGCAAGAGACATCTGAAGGTCGTCATCTGTAGGATTAGTCAGTCTCTGGCAACAATAGAGACCTACTACTATGCAGACCTCTCATATCTGACGCCAACATAGCGGACAACTGTTGCTGTAGCTCTTCTGCGTCCATGCCTGATTTGCTGCTCGCAAAAGCGAGGCATTTGCTCCTGAGCCACTCCTGACCGTATGAATAGGCTGACTTGGATTTGCCGCTCGGGGACTCTGTAACACCACCTGACATGTCACTGCTGTACTCTCGATCCTGTTCATCATCACTGAACACGTTCCACAAGTCATCCGAGCCACTGCTGCCTGTGAGATCCTCATCGTCAAGCATAATGTCGTGTCCATATCCTCTGCTTTCACCATTCGGCTGCTCTATTCTCAATTCATTTAACGTTTGTCGCAGCGCTGCATACTGGGCTACCCATTCCGACTCAGCATTTTCGAGTGAGGATGACATGATGAGGTCTTGGTGAGGTTTGGAGGTGAAGGTTGAGATTCAGCACGAGTATCTGCCTGGGCAAGTACTGCCCACCTACACGCACTCAAAGCTGGTGGTATTGCTGCCGATGACTAAAGTTATAGATGTCAAACCATGTTGGCGTAAATGATGATGCTAACAGTATTATACACCCTGGCGAGTGGCTGATACTTAGTCGCGGCACTTCCCGAAAAGCTTGTTTTCTCGACAGTAACGAAAATGGTCGAAGTTGTGGCTCAGAACCCCTACTGTTACCGTATGCACATACCACCGTCAGCCTCCACCTAGTTTCTCCTGTAACCTACAGACCACAAAATCTTTGGCTTCGTACTAACTCTCATACAAAATGAAAATCTTCTACATTGGCGTGAGTAGCGCCTGCTACCTGGGCCGTAGAACAGCACTGATGCTGATGCCTGCATACCAGATTCTCAAGAATGAGAACAAACCAGCACACGAGCTATGCGTTGAGAAAGATCTCAGTAGCTACTCAAGGTTCACAAGGGACAAGTATGATACCCGATTATACTCTGGGATATCATTCCGCGCTGATCGCTCGTTTGCGTCTCAGCTATGGCCAATTCATGTCTCTGTTCAGCAAGACTGTCGCAGAACGAACAAAGCCTGGTCAGAGGCAAGATGTTGAAGAGAAATGTACTCCCCCACCACCGCTCCCGTAATCATCTCCCCGCCAATCTGAATTTCAGCTGACATGCCATTCCATCCTACACATTCCATGCCTATGGTCGCACAGAAGGCGTCGCCGGAATCATAATCAGCGATCCCGACTATCCTGCCCTTGTCGCACATCAATTGCTTTCCAAAGTTGTCGACGAGTTCCTCGCCCGCTATCCTCGCTCCACCTTCGCCAATTCCAACCCCAACCTACCCTTTCCACAGCTCAAAGAATACCTCGAGAAATACCAGGATCCGCAACAAGCGGACAGCATAATGAAGATTCAGAAAGAACTGGACGAGACGAAGATCGTGCTGCATAAGACGATTGAGAGCGTGTTGGAGAGAGGCGAAAAGATTGATAGCTTGGTTGAGAAGAGTGACGGACTCAGTGCTCAGTCAAAGATGTTTTATAGTGAGCATTTCATTTATTTGACTAGGTGCGATGATGCAACACTGTACTGACATCGCTTTTTGTAGAACAGGCAAAACAGCAAAATTCTTGTTGTGTAATCATGTAATACTCTATACAGCTCACAGCATTGTGGAAAAGGCATCCCTCCAGTCAGTATGCTATCGGAGTATTGCTGCATTTTCGTTGGGTAGTGAAAAGAGATGCCGTCTAAATGCAGCCCGCCCCGTTCATGGCTCTACATGATGACGAGGCGCCTTTCTTCATGTGTAATATTGTAGCATAAATACATGTGTATTGGGCGCTTGGTCTCATCATTTCCTGCAATACGACATCCATTTCATCTTAAACGAAGTATGAAACCCTTTTCCCACGTCAGCTTCAGCGTGTCATTGGTATTATTCACCTCTATATACTACAAATCCCTTCAATCCGCCAAAACGAATACAACTTCTCAGCATGTAGGTTCCCAATGGCACACCACACCCCGGGCCCCGTCAAAGCGCAATACGACCCACCATGTCACTCTTTGACACTCACGCCCCTTGAGCGCACATCGGAAGTCCGGGCCTGATGGATCTTCTAAAGTTGTTTGAATTGCTCTTTCTGTGACCTAGAGACTTTGGGAGCGGGTCGTGAACACATCTGGCTTCGCGAACCTTATGTGGCGTCTTTTTGCGGCTCATTGACTCGGACATGTCAAATGCTGTCCAGTGTAGTCTTGGCAAAAGCAAGTATCAGATTGTGGCATGATCGGTAGCGCCGAAAAGCGCAGAATCGTATGTTATTAGTGATGTCTCGTCCTATTCGAGATATGAGACGCTTAACTGCGCGTGGCAACCAACACTGAGCCTGTCCTTCAAACACTATATCTTTCCTCCCTCGATGCTGATGATATTGATATCAAAATCCTCGTCAATCGCCGCTTGCCTTCCCACAAGGCAATTCATTCGGTACAGCACCTCTCCAGTGGGAAAATGTTCCCTGTGCTCTACCAGATGGTTCATGAAAGTCTGGATTCCACCGAACATTGGCGTGCCCCTACCCTCAGCGCAGCAGAAAATGCATCCAAAGGTGGCTTTTGTGGGGTCTGAGCAGGCCTCCTTGACCTGGATATGACTCTTGAACATAAACTCCCAGCGAAATTGTATTCCTTGCACAAGCTTGAAGACTCGCATATCAAATCCACTTTTTTTCTTGTCAATTGGTATCAAGCGGCCTTCAAACTTGCATTGTTTGCATTGGTAGTATTTGGCTGCGTTATACATGCCTCCAGGTCGCACTCTCTCTTCCAAGGCTCTTTTTCTATCGCCGATTTGCTGTCTCCAAGCGCCTTTGCAAAAGCCGGCGTACTTGTTCATTTCGCTTGGCAGCAGATCTTTCGGGTTGATTGAACAGATCGACTTATTAGATGAGAGGGTTTCAACAGTGGCCGCGGAAGCACGACGCTGGGAATCGAAAGATTTGATGGAGCCAGAAAATCTGTGCGATGGAGCATGACGCACTGTGTCGAAGGATAGGATAGAGTCGGTAGGCTTTTGTGAAAGAGCTGGGCTTGTAGCCTGATAGTCTTGCCATGAATTGAAGGCTGGGTGGTCAGGCTCGTATATTGAGCTTACTGCTGTGCTTATGGAATTGGTTCTAGACCTGATCGAAGCGTTGCTAGACAGTCCATTATTTGCATCTTCTATTGCCACAGCCAGGTATTCGTCAACGAGAGGGTTTTCTGGAGGACTGACTACAGGCTCGACTTTCGTCCTCTTGCCGATGCCGAACAATCCTGTTGTGGTGACCGTAGTAGCCATTGGCTTGTATTGAGCAGCATCCCTTCTGTCGGTGCTCGTCCGTTCTCTGGACCCTCGCGCTGAATCTGAGCGTGGGGAGTATTGAGAGGCATTGGGTGTGCTTGGAGGCGTGATTGGTCTAATGGAAGGTGATAAGGACATCTTTCGAACATGGAGAATATTGCCGTTAGCGCTAGAGGTGTTCGGAGAGGAAGAGACGGTGATGGAACTGGTGTTCTGCCGCGACGGCTGGGCCGCGTTTTGTGGAGGAGAAGAGAGCCGACCAATTTTACTGAGGGGATTCAAAGGTAAGGTCTCAATTGGACCCAAGGAGATGGTACGCTGTTGAAGCTGCATAAGGACTAGAATGGCTCGATCTTGGCTCGAGTCGCAGATGTCCTGGAGGGCGATGAAGTCGACGAATGTGTCTTGCTCCCATTGCGCTTTTAGATTTGCAAAGACCTGTCCCTGGTGGTGAGTGATGATGTCTTGCAGGGCATCCCTGGCTAACTCTGCATGACATTCAGCGATTGTCCTTAATGTTTGTGATATATGAACGTACGATCGCCTTGTGCGAAGGCGTCACCACAACGTTTATAGGTGCGTTCATACTGATTCCTCACGGCGCTTTCCCCACGGTTCAGCGATGATTCCAGCTCTTGGGCTGTTGCGTCGATCGATGCATCTTGAAATGTATTGCGAGATCTTTTTTTAGCTATGATTTGTTGAACGAGCTCGGCGCCATCATGGTAGACGGAAGAGAGAGAAGCGACACATGCAGAGACAGAGTCTTGCGACATAGCGAGGAGATTATTGGTCGGCGCAAATGCAGATCGTCCCGCGCGCGATTGAGGAAGGGATTGGCGAAACAAAACCAGGCACGCGACCGTAAATGAGCAGACAGCTCTCAACGCAGGAACAGGATCACAAGAGGAGGATCGATCTTCATTGTTCACAGAGGAAGGGCAGGTCCCGCTGATGAAAGTCGAAAGATCGAGCTAAGGGTCTGGACTGAATCCCCAAGTGAAAGGACTCTCGGTCCAACTACCGAAGTAATTGTATATGGAGAGGATATCCATCTCTCTATACTTGCGAAACGGCAATTCTATATCCTGACGCCTACATCTCTATTACGCTTTGCAAAAGGCAAGTGGCCAGTGTTTCAGATGAGGAAGTGTCACCAATTATCAATGACTTGAGACTGTGCTATAGCTAAAACCTTCGTCTCTGTGAAGCTAACTATTCTGCCCACTCTGCCGCCTGGAGAACTGAGGCTGATCGTAGCAGAATACATCGTTGCGGGGTCCTTATAACTGACTCTAATCACTCAACGCAAGCCTATGAGATACTCCCCGCTACCTGGCACGCGGGTTCCAGAATTCGTCGCACACCCTAGCGCCTGATTTGGACTAGGGTGTGCGACGAATTCTGGGACCCGCGTGCCTGGTAATGCACGGTCTTAAATCCGACACATCCGGGGGTGAGTTTTGGGGGGATACCATCCCGAAAACTCACCCCCACCCCGGGCTTACCCACGCCCCGTTACGCGGCGTAGGGCTCACAGAATTCAAGTAGATTTTATACAACGTTATCAAGACAACTGCGATTTACAAGATTCTTGAAGCTCTAGAAACCTTGTTTTACATTCTATCATTTGATTTTTCAAGGTTTTTATATTACTGTTGTGAAAGGATGAATTACTGAAGTGGATTTTAGATCGTGCATTATCAGATATCAGGCACTTTCGGATATATACGAGTACATTTTACAATTCATCCATAGAAGTAAAACTTTTTCCCCTTAGACCGACGATCTCGTATAATCATACTTTCATACTAAAGAAATTAGATTATATCGAGTATCGCGTCGCATATATATATCGCGCGACACAGTCGCGATATAGTTAAGTTATAATAAATTTATTTTATTATTAATAAGTATTATAAAAAAATAGAATATCTATATAAAATAAAAGAGAATTCTATTAAAATAAATTAAATAATATTATTAATAATTAACTTTATCTTTTATATTAATAAAAATTTAGAATATAATATAGAGAAAAGAGTTATTAGAGTTACCCGCGTAGCGCGAAAAAAATAAATCTT